TTAACTTTATGATATTGTGTATGCATTAGTGTACAAAATGTATATGTAAATAATCTTTGTTATCTTAAAATTCTCTCGCGTTTCTCATTGTAAAATTTTCCCTTTCCTTTTCGTGTGTTTGTCATCTGTTATTGTAAATAGTTAATTTTAAGTGTTTGTATTTTTCTGTTTATCGTTTTATCGGTAACTATTGCTTTTGAAATTATTATGTGTATGATAAATTGTTTGTCATTCCCTTACTTTTTCTTTGGTTGATACTCGGCAACTGATGACATCTGGTTCTTTTTTGATTGTGCAAAATAAATTTACTTTTATTTGTTTTCTTAATTGTAAATGCAATTTAATTATTGTAATAATATTACTTTCTTTAATCAAAACCAAAAGTATTAAATTCTTATTGGTGAACAGAAAAGTGTTGATTTTTTGACGAAATAATCGCCTTCATCCGACAGGTAATTAACCACATTAATGTATAACATTAATAGTTATTTGTCAATTTAATTAAACATAAAGTTAAAGTATAATCAGAAATTAAGCACTGATTATTTTTAAAATATTAAAAATCAAAATCTGTAAAAATTTTAAAAACAATTTTTTTGTGTTTTTAATTATTTATTTATTGTAATAAATCATTTCTAAAGAAACAAATTTCTTAAAATTAAAAACTATCTATAAATTTGCATCAATTTATTTTTTTGATAGTGATTTTAATCATTGTCAGTTATCATTTATACTGGACCCAAATATACCACGTCCCCATTGTGACGCTTCCCTACTGTGCTGTGTTTTTTCTTTTATATATTTGTATTTAATAAATTGATTGAAACAATTTTCATAGTACATTAATAATACAATATAAATTTTTGTTCATTGGAAAATTATATGTATTATTTTTTTGAGCGTGAAATATATGAATAAAACGTATGTTCTTTATTGTGTGTTATTGCATATGACAGTTATAAAATGTTAAAATTAATGATTATTTTAATAAATATATATTATGTTTTATTAATTGAATTCTGTAATGATTTATTTATAATCTAACAAATAAATTATGACAGACTCTTCGGACCGTCATCATAAGTAGGCCACTGATTCAGTAGGAGTACCCGACAACGGATGGCAGGATAAGTGTTTTGCAGAAAAAATATTACATTAGAATCAGTGTAATAAAAATATACTAAAAATGTAATTATTAAGATCAGGAAAATTTTAAAAGAGAATATAGTTAAATGTATTGGGTATGAGGTTAATGTTTGTTAATGAGGTATGCCACTTAGGCGTATTCAGAAATTATTTTAAGAGGGTATTGTTAAGGTATATACTTAAGTGCCGCGCACACGAAACAAAAATAAGGTAGGCGACACAAGTTCGGGTTTAATTTGAAAAGGCGTCGAGCCGTTTATTAGACTAAGATCATAAAATTAAACGCAACAGAAAATAACACTGATACAAGATTTCACGACATGAAAATAAATGTTGTTGGTTTTGACAAGTGTATATTATAAGCGGTTCGAGGATCGGACGACGGTAAGTTTGGTGGTGTCACGAAGATGACTGAACTCACGTATTATTGGGGCAGGGTATTCGACGCTAGGCATTTGTTGGACTTTACACTACGACGATAACGCGTGTGTGTAACGGTCCGGTTTACAGTGAAGCGGTGGCTGAGAAGGAGCTGATACGACCGCGGGGTGTCAACGTGTGACAACGCCGTGGCCGTGTCAGTATTTAATATTTTTTTACTTTGTTAAACATGCTATAGAATTTTTTTTGCTAAAAATCATAGTGATGATCAAAAAAAAAAGGCCATTAAGTCGTTATTTCTTAGAAGTTGCCAAAAAAAATATTGATAGCGCTTGTTTAAGGGAGGTCCATATTCCCCTGTCATGCCTAATAATTATTAATATTCGAATTATAATAATTGTGTTTATATTATAGAATAAGTACAAAAAAAATCAGCAGGTTATTTTACTAAGGACTATGTAAAAAAATTTATTTGGATAAAAACAGCGATTTGACGTTGGACAGCATAGTTGTCACAGATGGATCCCAACTTTTAGAATTAACTCATAGACTCAAACATCATATATAAGATAAATAAAATTATTAATACTGTACTATTCTGATAAGAATATACAAACTTATATACTTATAACCGTCTTAAAATTTATATATAACATTCCTTGATAAAATATAGTTCAAAGTGATAAAAGTACAATTGAACAGTAAGCTCATTATAAAGCGTAAGTTCTAACAAAATATGTATATAATAATAAACATGATTAAATATATCAATAAATTTGTATTATTAATATATTTAAAAGGAATCGACTGAAAATATATTAATAAAAGTATGCTTAATAAAACTAAACATAATACATAAAAATAACAAACATATTATTTAAAAAAAAGATAGTTAATAAACTAAAACAATCAATTCACATATGAAAATAAAAACATATATGAATCATGAATTGAATAGAAAATTAAATCGTCACAGAAATACATATTTTACAAAATAAGGGTCACAATAAACATATGCACAGAAATGGGTCAATGCTCTTATTAAATAAAACCATGAGCATGGACTAAAAAAAAAAATCTCCTAAAACAGTGAAAAATGAACGGATTGAATATATTTTTTTATAGCACACGCGTCTCAATTAAAACTATTTTAGTGAATAATTAGAAATAATGTGTACATTATTTAAATATTAATCATTAAAATACAAACAATATGTGAAAAAAAAAAGATAAGAATGTTGCTTGAAGAGCAATAAGGTACTATAGGTAAAACTTTTTACCTATTATTTATATTATTATTTAATAGATAAAATTTTTAAAAAAATTTTAATAAATATTGCATGTCTTTGAAACTTTAAAAGGAATAATATTAACATAATAAGTCAAGTACTCAATTAATTACATAATGAATTATGTCTGAAGGATGACTTAAAATTTTAAAACTATTGTTGTTTTTATTAAAGTTACCTAACCGAAAATTAAAAAAAAAATAGTAGTTGCCATTTAAATTTTTTAAGTTAGAATAGATTCCTACCCCTTTACATTAGGGTTTAATTTTAATTTTAATCGTAAAAAGTGCTGACACAGTCCCGCGTCGCTTCTTAATAACCGGAGCCTCGTGACCTGTGCCACCTTTATCAGTCACACAATGTGTATATGGTAGTTTGACTAACTAACACCGATACGGTAAAAAGTCCAGCCAGTACCGCCCGCCAAAATCATACGTTTTGNAAGTACCGCCCGCCATAATCAATCGTTTTGAGTCGGTCATCTTTGTGACACCACAAAAACTACCTTGTTCCTCCGCAAAACGGCAATGGGACTGCACCTAGTGTCTATTGTAATGTTTCGTTATTCTATACTCAGCGTTTACTTTTCTTTCTTTTAATAACATTAAAAGAATATTGTTGAAGTGTGAAATAAACGGTGCTACGTGCAACCACAACCTTATTATCGACTACGTTTCTTTATACATAAATACTTATCACTACCAAACTAATTGTATGTGAATGCGAACTCTAAAAAAACAGTAGCACTCAAAATAATCTAAATAATATTTCCAAACTTATTAGATACCCCGTATGAAGAATCATATATAATTAAGGAGTATATATGATTTGTAAAACTTTCACTATTATAAGTGATATAAATTTAGTATTAAATCAGATAATTTCAACGATGACTTAAAAATATTCTTAGAAAATTCCTTTGACATAATAAATATACGTTTGTATTATCGATTGGATTTATATAATACACATTGATAAGAATATTAAATGTATTTCTTTTACATTATGTTTCCATAAAACAGTACTCATTATATAGTGAAAGAACATAAGTTAAATGATTTCAGAAATTTCCAATGCTCCTATTGTAATAAAACGAATAATTAAAAAAAACTTTTAATATTCGAGTGGAATTTTAAAACATAACAATTGTAAATTACAATAAATTAATTCATTGAAGCATTTATTATGATAGCAATGTAAACCACAGTTATTTATACGAAATAAAATAAAAAAAAATGTATGTTATAATAAATTTTTAAACAAATTGATTTTATTTATTGGCTATCTATATGAATAACTAGTACTCAAAAACAAATTATTTATTACTTTAAACTGAGAAATATTTTACATTTTTATTGACGTTCAAATTTAAAAAAATGTAAATTTAGAGAATCAACCTTTAGTTTTTATCTTAAATCTTAGTCAGATAAGAATTGAAAATAATTCTCAAAATATATTGTTTTGAAAAATATATGAAAATATGGTAATAAAAAATTCTTAATTTAACGATACACGTGATATACAAATATATCAATAACTTCTGATATTTGAGAATTATCAAAAATACATATTATATATTATTTGTACATTAAAATCATATTAAATATATAGTTTTACACTATAATCTATTTAAAGTATATATTTTATATATTTTGTGCAAAAAATTAACAAAAATAATATATAAAAAACTAATATTGATTTCAATAAGTTGATAATTAATGATTAACAAATAGTAAAACACTTGTTAAGCTGAAAGTTATTAGACTTATTATTTAGAATAAAAATAATCTGGACCTTAAAAGACTTAAAAATATATATATATTTTTAATGCATATATATTTAAAAGCTTATACACTTTTAAAATAAAATTACCATAATTTTGTTATATATTGTAGTTACGAATTCAATAACGAAAAAGTAATTATTATTTTGATTTATAATAATTTAACTATAATAATTTTAGAACTATTTTACTTTATTTCTTATGTACCAATGAACACTTGTAAAAAATTAATTTGTTATTTTTTTATATTTATAGAAAAAAACCTTGAAATTTACAAAAAAAAACTATTTATACACATAATTATTCAATACTAAAATTCATTTTTCTAAAGAATTTAATCAATTTTTTGCAAAAGTCTAAACGATTGAGTAATCACTTTAATTACTACTGATAAAGGTAAAATGAATTATTATATTATTATATTCATTATGTTATTGAACATAAAAATTTCCAATACAATTATTGTTCCTAAGACTAATGAACTATTTACGAATATTGAAAATCAAACGTTTGTAACCAATGACAATTTAGATGAACTCATAAGAGAATATCCAGCATTCCTTCAGCTAACTTTACAAGAAAATAAATACTACACTGGTAGTGATGCATCTCTTTGTCCTCTACCTTATGATGAAAATACACTGTTGGATGATCCTGATGTTGAGAAATTAGAATATTTCGACCCGAGAGAATGTGAAAAGCCGTGGACGTGGACGCAACAAAATCAAATTATTGTTCCTGTTCAAAAAGAATTTACCATTAACAAAAAACTAGAAGAACTGATTTTTCGAAATAACAATTTAGAAATTATTCAGAGTTATTCTCATTATCTGAATGCTATGGAAAGTGTTGGAATAACTGTAGTCGATCGATTTTGTTTGTTTTTAATTGAAGTCATGGATAGAATCAATGTTTTCTCTGAAGCTGTAGTAATTTTTCCATTATCGGATATGTATGTAGAATTACTAGTAGCAAATGTAAGCATTTATAATTTTAAACACTTATTTAGACATATGTATGTCATATTTAGGAAGTACTTCATTTCTACATTACCTCTTGACTGTATTTCGAATTTTCTGAAGGTAATTTATCCAGATGATGGGTTTAATAATGCCGATGGGATACAAATTCTAAAAAATAATATTGAAAAATACAAAGCGCAATTATTAGAATGCAGAAAACTTGCACATTTAAAAAGAAACTATGCTATTCTTAAAAATGATAACTTATGGGAGCACGATATCATTTCAAAGGAAATACCTAAAAGTGAATACTTAGTAAAATTATATGAAAACAGTATTCTAAAGGTAGCTGAACTTTTTAATGTGACACCTCTTTTTTTATTTATTGATTAATAATTATAATTTTGCATTTAGTTTTTATAAAAATTATATTTAGTATTACATTAAACTATTATATTATTTATTCATATAAATTAAGCATATTTTTTGATTCATATTTAAATATTTATTATTATTAAATACTATAATAGAGTTTAAATACATTTTTACTATTGTCATCTATATAAAAATAGCTTCATAATATGTGTATCACTCTGTAAATCGATCACCTTTTATTTTCGCTATTGAATTATTAATAAGATGTACGAAAGTTGCATTTAGCTGCCAAAGTATATTCTGAGAACTTTGTGAAAATATTTTAAAATATTCTTGTTATATTCTAGAAATATATCATTGCTATATGGCTATTTACTTAGCTTATATTCTAAATACTATTTCTCATGAAAATATTGTATTGATCCATAAACTTTTTAATAAATTATAGCATAATAAAGTTAAAAATGTGAAATACAAAATCGAGAATTTTCATACAAAAATATCATTTGGTAGTCATTTTCACCGTGAAGAAAAAATGAAGTCCGAAATTTTTTTTTTCCATTATAAATTATATTACAATTGCTTTAATTTAAGACATATATAAAAGTGTCAGACTTTCCGGAACATTTTCAAAAGTCAAGTTGAAATAGTTAATTTTTTGTGAAAAAGTTGTCATTTTAAATCCCCTCCTCTGTGCAGGCAAAGGGTTAGATTTATAAAATAAGTATACTAAACGATAAGTAAAGACATCATGCATCTATAATAAAAAATTGTATTGATGTGGTAATTTTTAAAAAAATTATGGCAATATTAAGTAAAAAAAATTGAAAAAATGTCGATAATTAGCGATTTTGAAATCAAACGTTTGTAACCAATGACGATTTAGATGAACTCATAAAAGAATATCCAACATTCCTTCAGCTAACATTACGAGAAAATAAATACTACACTGGCAGTGATGCATCTCTTTGTCCTCTACCTTATGATGAAAATACACTGTTGGATGATCCTGATGTTAAGAAATTAGAATATTTCGACCCGAGAGAATGTGAAAAGCCGTGGACGTGGACGCAACAAAATCAAATTATTGTTCCTGTTCAAAAAGAATTTACCATTAACAAAAGGTTAGGGAAACTGATTTTTCGAAATAACAATTTAGTAATTATTCAGAGTTATACTCATTATCTGAATACTATGGAAAGTGTTGGAATAACTATAGTCGATAGATTTTGTTTGTTTTTAATGGAAGTCATGGATAGAATCAATGTTTTCTCTCATGCTGCAATACATCTTCCATTATCGGATAGAACTGTATATTACCTAGTAGGAAACTTAAGCATTTATTATTTTAAAAAGTTATTAAGTCATATATATGACACATTTAGGAAGTACTTCATTTCTACATTACCTCTTGACTATATTTCGAATGTTCTGAAAGAAATTTATCCAAATGACGAATTAAATAACTGAAATGGAATACCAATTCTAAAAAATAATATTGAAAAATACAAAGCGCAATTATTAGAATGCAGAAAACTTGCACATTTAAAAAGAAACTATGCTATTCTTATTAATGATGGCATATGGGAGCAGGATATCATTTCAAAGGAAATACCTGACAATCAAGATTTAGTAACATTATATCAAGACAGTGTTCAATAATTAGCTAAACTTTTTAATGTGGCAAATTTTCTTTATTTATTTATTTATAATTTTAATTTTACAATTAGTGTTTATAAAAATAATATTTAGTATTACATTATGTTATCATATAAATTAAGTATATTTTGTTGATTAATATTTAAGTATTTATTATTATTAAATGCTATATCATAATTTAAATACATTTTTACTATTAAAACGAAACAAAAAAATTCGCCAAGATATTGAGTTATCAAATGAATATTATTGATAAAATAATAAAGATAATAAGATTTTATATAAAAATAATATTAAGTTATTTTTATTTTATTTCGTTATTTTTTAAATTCATATTTAAATATTTAATAAAATTAAGTTGTTGCAACTTAGTCTCAGCTTTCGCCGACCTATTTCTTTCAACGATACGTCAAAAGATCACAGATCGTATCTATACGAAGACATTACCCTAAAAATTTAAAAAAAAATTTCTCTTGTTCTCCGATAATGGGGCAATTCCCATAAATTTAATAATTTTAAAAATCAATAATTGTCGTCCTTTTTTAAACTTTATTTTTACTTAAAATTATTAAAACGTTTTGAAAAATGAACGTTTCAAACAATTTTTTTTATAAATATTTAGGTATTTCCTTTTCATTTGATATAAATTTTATGATAATCTGACCCTTACCTACTTACAGTGGAAATTCAATATAGCAACTTTTTCATAAAAAAATATCATTACTACTTGACTTTTGAAAACGTTATGGAGGTACTCCTAGCTTGAAACATGCGTTAAATTAAAGTTATGTTACATACTAGAAGTTAAAAATAAAATCTTGTTATGTTACTTTATCTTCTATGTGAAAATAGCTTCCGTAGTTTAAACATGTAATTTATGTGTCAAAATTTTTCATTTCATATTTCAATTTTTCGAATTTATATTGCTAAAGCTTTATAAAAAACGTTATTTATTTTTAAAATTTTTTTTTTTTGTAAGTGATATAAACATATCTCATTTATGTGACATAATTTTTTACTTTAATTTTTAATAGCGTACTGTTACCATTAAATAATGTAATAAATGTTTAATACCGTTTTTTACATAATATGGATTAACATAGGAAAATTATAAAAAAAATCAAAATTTAACAATTTTTAAAACGCTGTATAAACGTAATTACTGAATTAAAATAAGAGTTTTTGGTGTCAAATTATTCTTTAAAACTTATCTATAAAATGGCTATCTTCAAATCATAAAAAAAAATTTTAATAAAAAAATTCCTATTTGTAATTGCGAAATATAACATAAAACATATTTTAATATAGTTCTATATTGTACAAATTGATTAAAAAGAAAAAAAGTATAAAATATAATGTAGATCGTAAGTTATATGAGTTTTCAGTTAGATCTATTCCACCCTGTATAAACGAACACTTGTAAAAAATTAATTCATTGTAGTTTAATATTTATAGAAAAATCCTTCAGGTTAAAAAAAAAAACTATTTAAAATCTTAGTTATTCAATACTATTGTTCATATTTTAAACGAATTTACCCAATTTTTGTGCAAAAAGACTAAACGATTGAGTAATCACTTTAATTACTACTGGTAAAGGTAAAATGAATTATTTTAGTATTATACACATTATGTTATTGAACATAACAATTTCCAATGCAATTATTGTTCCTAAGACTAATGAACTATTTACAAATATTGAAAATCAAACTTTTGTAACCAATGACGATTTATATCAACTTATAAGAAGGTATCCAGCATTCCTTCAGCTAACTTTACAAGAAAATAAATACTACACTGGTAGTGATGCATCTCTTTGTCCTCTACCTTATGATGAAAATACACTGTTGGATGATCCTGATGTTGAGAAATTACAATATTTTGACCCGAGAGAATGTGAAAAGCCGTGGACGTGGACGCAACAAAATCAAATTATTGTTCCTGTTCCAAAAGAATTTACCATTAACAAAAGGTTAGGGAAACTTATTTTTCGAAATAACAATTTAGAAATTATTCAGAGTTATACTCATTATCTGAATACTATGGAAAGTGTTGGAATAACTGTAGTCGATAGATTTTGTTTGTATTTAGTTGAAGCCGTTGATAGAATCAAAGGTTTCTCTAAAGCTATAGAATATCTAGTAGTAAATGTATGCATGCATAACTTTAAAAAGCTTATTAAATATATTTATGATACATTTAAGCAATACTTCATTTCTACATTACCCCTCGACTGTATTTCGAATATTCTGGTGAAAATTGTTCTCAATAACGATATAAAGAATTGGGATGGGTTACGTATTCTATTGGATAATATAGACCAATACAGTGCACAGTTATTAGAATGCAGAAAGCTAACAAAGTTAAAAAGAAACTATGCTGTTCTTGTAAATGATAACCTGTGGAAGTGGGATATCACTTTAGAGGAAAAACCTAACAACGATGACCTAATAAAATTATATCAAGACAGTGTTCGAATGGGAGCTGTACTTTTTAATGCGAATGAAGTTTTTTTTTTCATGAAGGATTAATTATAATTTGTCATTTATTTTTTAGAAAAATAATATTAAGTATTACATTAAACTATTTTATTATGTTATCAGATGAATTAAAAATATTTTATTGATTCATGTTTAACTATTTATTATTATTAAATGCTGCATCATAATTTAAATACATTTTTACTTTTGAAACGAAACAAAAAAATTGTCAATTTCTAAAACATATGATTTATTTAAAAAATTAAAAATTAATTTTATTGATTTCATGAAAATAGTTGATTATTTAATTCAACAATTAATTTAAAAAAAATTATTCGTCTATAAATATATAGTTATAAAATAAACATTTCTTGATAAAAATTAATAATAATAATATTTAACCAAAACATTTTTGTAAAATTCAGTATTACGACTTTTTGATAATATTTATTACATAATAAATAATTTATTTCGATTTTGTTTAATCTTATTTAGTTCTCGTTTTTTAAATGATTAAAAAAGCTTTAAAAAGTTAAAAGTTTTTATCAAATAGTCCTTTTTCTAATTAAATCATTATTAATTGAAAAATCTATTTAATTAATAGTGTTGTCATTTGATATTGATGCCCTTATAAGGTATATGGTATGAACTAAAAAAAGACTTTATGATTGACAAATTGAGCGAAACATTGAACTAAAAGACACAAATAAAACAAAATATTAATATTATTTTTATTTTTCGATTAATTAAGTGATTCATGATAAGTGTATCACTCTGTATATCTATCACCTCTTATTTTCGCTATTGAATTATTAATTAGATGTACGAAAGTTACAACTAGCTGTTAAAATATATTCTAGACACATTGTGAAAAAATTTAAAAATATTCTTGTTATATTTTAGAAATATTTCATTGCTATGTGGCTTTTTACTTAGCTTATATTCTAAAAACTTGATAATTCTATGGAAATGACAGGTCAATAACATTTATAACAACTATTGAACTACTCGATAGTTGTTCACTATATTCGGATAGTTTTTTAAACTATTCGATAGTATTTTAAATATTTGATAGTTCGTGCTAAAACTTAAAAATAAACTATTCGGGCGTATAAAAAAAATTTGAATAGTTATTCGATAGTTTAAAATATTCGAAAATGCCCGTCACTAATAAAAACTGTTATTGTCGTTAATCTATAATAATGGCACGTGTACTACGGATAATTTTTTGCCTTTTATTTACATTTGTTTGTTAAACATTAAATAATATTGAGCTGTTTTTGCGTTTTCTCTTTTGGCTACATGGTTATTAATACTATAAATAATAATATTATGAAAAGTCTTGAAGAGGGTTCGACGCTGTGTCACGGACAAAAACCATTATGCTGTTGCCGTTACGTGATAATTAGAAAATATATGTCGGAATGATTAAAAGTCAGTTCTTACTCTGTGTCATGTTATGACCACATAATACACTTGATTAAAAAAAAATTAATACGTGAAAAAATATTGTGAAATAACAACAAATGTTAAAAATTTTGTCATTAATTTTTAATAAACGGGGTTTATTATTAAATTGAATACTCATTAATCTGTTTATTTAATTATAGTATATTACTGTAATAAAAAAAAAAAAACACAAGTGTTTTACTTAATATTTACTATATAAAAATTGTCCATTACTGTTATGACAGATCGGTCGTTTCTCACATTATATAACTCTAGTGTCAATCTAATTGTATTTTATATATTTTATTTTAAACTCTTCTCATTAATTGTTAGGCTATAATAAGATTATACTTTGAAATGTGTTAATAAACAAACAAAAATTGTGACGGTTCATATTCATAATCATAGATAATTATGAGTAATTATATAAGATGCATCGTTGACCTTATGTTTCGCTAAATACGAGTTTAATGAACTTCTAAAAGACATCTGAAATATACAGATGCATTGATACATACACAAAGACATTTTTATGGTGTTTGTAATGGTTATCCGTAATATATTTTCTACAGGCTGCACAGTGTAATAAATTAAAAAATCTGGATCAATTATGTTGGTAAGATAAATAAAGTGCAATATCTGAGGAGGCACGCCGTACTGTTAAGTGTTCACGGCACCAATAAGTCACTTGTGTGGAAATGGATGTTTAAATCGAGCACGTAGAATCTCACTAATGCAAGAAAATAGTCATATACAATGATAAATGCATTAGATGAGTCGATCGCGGTAGTTATGTTACACATGTACAGGACATGAGCTTTAATGCTCTTATGGTACATACTTAAATAGTGAAACGGTTGTAACGCAATAAAATGGAATATTATTACCTCTCCATAAACAATTATTAATGGTTAATAATTAGTTTTCGAAATTATCTGGCGAACAAAAATAAAGGCTTTATAGATGGTTACATTAGTAGATCATCATCATCATAAATCGCGAACACTCGGGCGGTGTTGTGTCGAGAGACAAAGCTGCCGGGTAATAAGCCGACAGTTATGTTATTATTGTTGTCTTCGATGCAGTCGCCAATGATCTTGAGGGGGCCCTCGAGGCAAGGGGTACCATGCCACTGCCTTAATGGTCTAGATACTAATATATATGTATACATAACTACATGCTGATGCGCACGTGGATATCACAACTGTTTCCAAGTGGAAATCTTAATGTCGGTAACTTCTATGCGACACTAATGGTTTGTGACACTAGTATCGAAGAATTTAAATGGATCTGCGAGGTCAGACTCGTAGCAGCTATTATTTATGTCCAGATATGACATTTATTACTCGATTACTGCAATACACATTAATAACAATCGGTACACTTGGTAATATATTTATATTTTTACTTAATTATCCTTTCAATTTCTACATACTTTTCTTTCAAGTAGATAATTGTGAACATTCGATCGGAAAATTATTCAAATGCGAATTCCTGTTTTCTATAGTAACAAATAAATGTTCTATATAATTGATAAAGCAATTTTTTTTGTATTTATTAAAATTAAACAAAAAAACTAAAAGTTGTTTTCAAAATTATCATGTACAGTCTATTTTACTTAAGTCAGTAATATTACAAGAACCAATATAAAAACTATTTTTAAATAAAATAATTCTAAAAAATATGAGTTGAATATTATTTATTAATATATTTATAGCATAAAATGGCAAATCATAAAGTTGTAATAAGAAAACTAAAGAATATGCAAAAATTAAATAAAAGTTTAAAATTACCGAATTACTTTAATTTAATAATTCGATTAATGTTTAGTTTTTTAAGATATATTTAATGTTCATAGCGTATTAAACAAATATTAAATTTTCATATTTTATGAACATCTAATCCTATTCCACACAATGTAAAAATCACAGTATGCATACAAGTAAAAAAAATTCAAACATAAAATTGATTTATTTTTAGTTACGAGTACAATTCACTTGTTTTACAAAATAAATATTTTAATATCTATTAAAAATTAAAAATAAATGTATTTGTATAACTTTTCTATCAAAAAAGGATAAAAAATATTCTTTTTAATTAAAGAGGCGACACATAAGAGTATTCATTAAATTGATACATGTTCTTAAGCCTTACTCATTTTAATAAGAAAGGCTTGTGCTTATGTTTTTATTTCGTAAATCGTTTAGAGACTTTTGAAAAGTCCCTTAAGGGGTTTCTAAGGGAAGACATTTACCGTGTTATACACTCGTTCCAACCCTTTATTGTCGCATATTCCGTGATAGTAATTAAAGTCTGCAACAAAAATATATACTTTCAAAAGTGCAGGAACTATAGTTTTGCTCACTAAATTCTGATCCCAACACATAAGCTCTATAGCCATTTATTAATTTATAGTTACACTTTCCCTCGAAACTCCTCGCGGATATCTTCTATCAATTTTCTCGATGGGCGATAAAAAAAACAATTAATGTAGAATGGCTCTTTATTGTTTTATTTATACTGAAACATAATCTCTTGGACCGCAATCGAATGTTCGTTTCACGATAGAACAGTTGATTTATACCACTAAGACCATGACAAAAGCGTACAGCAAATGATGTTTGGGCAGAGAGAGAATATGAAAACTTATCATAACCAAAAACGCTGCTGTAAAGACACAAAACTTTAATACTGCAGCACCTCCGATCAACGATAACAGTATTAATACATATAAATAATAATAACGACGACCATGTATTCTTATAATGAGGAATTATAGGGCGTAACGGTTTTGTTTTGTGGGGCAAGACCTTTTACGACCTCGGTGGGTCCAGTAGGTGATCGGTTGTGCATAGGGGAGCTTGTCGAATGAAGAGTAAAAGCAATAACCACGCGGAAGTTGATTTAGAAAATAATTGAGTGTCCAGGACGTGTGTATAACCAGACCATAACATAAATAAGAACTGCGGACATTTGCACGGGGGTTATATCTTTGAGAAAATAATATCATACATGGTGTTAAGCACACGAGTATCCGGATGCCATAAAACAAAAAATACTCCTGTAAATAAAATTGAGGGGAAGAAATAGATCATTGCACTGTATTCTGTCCATACTTGGTGATTAACGTAAGCTGTTTTAGAGATCTGAAAAACTGTTAATTTAATAATATTTCAACAGTAATATTTTTATTTCATTGGATTCAATCAAGTGTAACACACAACTCTTAATAAAAATTATTAGGATAATAAAATATGAAGCGAATCAATTATCTTATTCAATCTAGAAGGGGTTACAATGCAAAATGTACCATTTCCAAAAATACAATTTTTCAGGAGAAAAGATTTTCTAAAATCAAAAAGTACATTTTGCACAATATCGTTATTATTAAATCAATTTTTCTATAGAAAAATGTGCAATTAGACAATAATTAATCACACCATTCGATGCCACCGCGTCCAAATGCTTAACTCAAATTTAATAAAAATGGAAAAATTACGTTTTGCATAGTAACCCCTCAATTTTCGTATGGACGATTTACTTGCAAAAACATTAGAGAAACTATAATATGTGTATTAAAGCTTTTATGTGTACAAATATAAAAGCTTCAATGTAAAGATAAAACGTTTGTTTATGCATATAGTAGTTGTCATACCCCTTGGCTCCACTTGGATAGTAATTTTATATAAAGGTTCATATGAAACCGACTGAAAGTTACCGTTTATAAATTTATAATTTTTTTAAATAATGCATGATTAAA